TGTACGCGCCGAACCGTCAATTCCAGTACCTCGGCGTTCTCTAGCTTGGTCTGCACCTGCGCAGAGGGGAAGGCGATTGGGTCGGGCCGAGAGCTCTGGCGCGCACTCTGCAACCTCCCGCGCCCTTCCCTCCGCACCTCGGTGCCGGCCAGCAGCAGCCGCAGCTCCTGGAGACTCTCGTTGATCCGCGCGCGCCGCTTCTTCTCCACTAGGGGCTTCCGGGCCTGTGGGAAGTGGGCCACTGAGCCCCGGGCCCGCGCAGCCTCCCGCAAGCCCATCCGCCCGTGGCCCCTGCCCGCACCTTGCGGTCCCTCCGTCCTTCCCAGCGGTCCTCGTCCTCTTGGCCTGCACGGTCCCGGCTGGGCGCCAGCGGCGGAGACATGGTCCGCAGCGCCCGGAGCCCGGGGCCGGGGACTGAGCGCAAACCACACTGCCAAATGGGTCAAGAGCTCCGAGGCCTCAAGAACTCTTCCAAGTCTTCCGGCCCGCGGGGCCCCGCCCCTTTTATAGCACCTCATTTGCATGTCAATGCACCGATTGGCTGTGCGTGCCCGGAGCTGCCAGCCGCGAGGCTGCCCGCATCCAATGAGAGCGGCCCGCTTTGTCAGGCCCCGCGGGCCTCTGGCAGCTGGCGAGGCGGAGCCCGCAGCCGGCCCCCCTGCCACTCCCGCAGGGGCGGGACTCCGGGACAGTGACCCCGGGCTTCTGCCTCGCTTGTGTACTTGTACCTCCCTCCCTCTGCTGAGTTATGAGCCCAGACCCGCCAGCCGGGATTTAAGCTATCCATTCTTCCGTCTGCGCAAGCATCCATCCCACCCACCCCTCACCCACCACCCCTATAGGGCTTTTGCTTCCTTTGGTTCCCCCAAAAGTGCCTCCCGAGAATAGCGGCCCAGTCGGGGACCGCAAACTGAGCTTCAGGCGGGGCAGTGCCAAAATCAAGTCCATGCCCTTGGGACCTGGAAGGGGCTTTGGGTCACGGGAAAGCGGGGACCAACTTAGCAGCAGGAGTAGGGACGGCCCTCTGGACTCTGGTGTTTTTTTATTGTCTCATGAGGACACCTGTGGCCTTTTTAGACCAAGGTTCACAGTAGTTCTCACAGTAACAGAGTTCTCTTTCTCTGCGCTCCTTCTAAGTCACTTACCCAACACTTACCTTGTCTTTCTCTATTCCTAACCCCCCCCCCCCCCCCGTGTCAAGCCTCTCCTTCCTTGTTCACCATCCCGTACCTGCCTAAACTCCCCGAGTCCCTGCGCACCCCCATCCGGTGCTTCGCCTTTCCCTGCCCCCACCCCTTTCCACGCCCACCTCCACCCCTCTCGGCTCCTCCCCTTCCATCTTTGGGCCCTGCAGGCGGAGGCTGCCGTCTGGTCCCGGTAACTTGATGCCCGTGACAGTTGGCAGCTGCAGCCGCTTCGGCAGAGAAAAGCTGCAGCCCGGCCAGGAGCGACAGGTGTTGGCCGCGCCTTTGTCTCGCTGGCTTTGTCCCGCAGGCAGCGACAGGCACGCCTATGTCGGCCAGACGCCCAAACCCCGCGTCGTCGTCGGCGGTCCATCTGCCGGCCTTGCCTAGCAAGGAGGGGGTTGGTGCAGTGCGAGGGCGGCGAGACCGCGCCCCCAGGCAGCACCCTAAGAACCTCCGGCTCTGCTCCATTGTTCTTGGTTTCTGCTGCTGCTTCAGAGCTGGGACACCGGGCCGGCTCCCCACCGGGCCTTTAGGCACTCCATCCTTAGGTCTGGGCACTACCAAGCACCACTTAGTGGGGGCCTCTTCATCATTCAGATTTTGGTAGCTGGTGCTTCATCAGCCTGGCTGGAAGGCCTCCGAGGAAGGAGAAGACCAGGCAGGAACTGGAGCAGTTTGGCAGGGAAACCCCTTACCCTCCTAAAGATGTGACTGGCAGGCTCCTTGTGGCTGTGTACAGAGGGGCCTCCAAAGGCGTCAGGTAGGACGAGCTGGGTGAGAGGTTACAAGTTGGAAGGTGTCACCTGACAAACGACCCACTCCTGCTCTCTCACACTTTTGCCTCTGAATTGTTCCTCTGTGTTGGAGTCCTCACACTCTCCCCATCCCATTAGCTCTCATCTGGGTATTCCCAACATGCTGTAAAGTTTGGTTCTCTTCCACCACCCTCCAGGGACTGCCGAGGGTCCTCCATTCTTGGTGGTAAGACTCCTATGTGGGGGTGGGAATGATCCCAGTGGGGCCAGTCATAGCTGGTTTGTGACTTCACTGTTTAGCTATTAGCTTTCAGCAAAGGAAATTCTAAAATGATTACTTTTAAGTTTCCACTACTTTGAGGTAGGCAAAAATAACCTTTGGTAGTTTGTGTGTGTGGTCTTTTTTGTTTGTTTGTTTGTTTTGCTTGCTAGTTCACAACTCTTTCGTACTTTTCCTGCATCCAAATTAGCAAGGCCAAAAGAAGGCTCCTATTGGTACAGCGTAAGGGCTCTAAGGAAAGACTTCAAATTACCCGTGGTACACCTGATGGGAGAGTTAGAAGTGGGGTCAAATAAGGACACAAAACAAACTGCAAGAAGGAATTAAAAGCAATTAAGAACTCCAAGGAAAGCAAAACTACCCAGGAAGAGAAATGTAACCTTAGCCCATTCCTAGGTTTGGACATCAGTCGTGGACTACAATGCTTTGTCCAATGCTATGTGAGTTGGGTGCTGTCTAGTACTGGGGGAAAGAGAAATTGAGTACCCGGGGTATTCCTCCGTGTGATTAGGCATTCTCCTTGGAAGGAATGAGGGTAGAGACAGGGCAGGGTATGAGAAAGGAAATGCTTTTTGGTCAGGAGTGGGAGATAGGCGGAGTTGCTTGAGGTCCCTCCCTCCTGCAAAGCTGCCCTCAGTTTATTTTAGTGGGTTCATTGGCTAGGTGGCTTAGACATTTTTGTCCCAGAAGCTTGACCATCCCATCTTGAGCCCAGGAAACTCTCCTTCTCCTGTCTACCTCCCTCAGCTGACCTATTGCTTCCTGCCATTTGTCCCCTGGTTCATACCTTACCTTCAAAGTTTGCCTGCATGCAGACTTCCTGATCATTAGGGCCTTTTGATCCCCCTAGAGCCAGGAATAGAGGCCAGCCGAGGTTGGGCAGGGCCATAGTGGCAGGGTGACTAGTTAGCAGCAGAAATAACAGGCCATAAATCCCCAGAGGGACAAAGGCAGCAGCCGGCCTGCAGACATCCAAGCACTTTGTGGGCAATCTGCCCAGGAGACTCAAGAGAATGTCCTTTTGGTTTGAAAATAAAGGAGAGGGGCTGCCCTTGGGGTTACACTGCAAAGCACAATTAGAGCCCTCCAAGGCTCAGTCATCGAAGCATCCATAGCTGCCAGGAAAACTGTGTTTCAGACCACTGCATCAGCACTGGCAGTCAGACAGCATGCTCAGAGCTGCTGGAATCTGAGCATGAGGCCCCGTGTCATGTTGTATCTTTGCTCAGGTCCCTGGGACTCTGGCTTGGAGAGAGAAAAGGGAAGCAGTCCTCTTCAGAGTAGTTCTCACATGGTTGTCTGTCAGAAGGGCCAGGGTAGGAGGCCTGTGCCCTCTGTGATGCCTATGTACACACCTGAAGGGTGTGTAAGTCTTTTCTAGCATGGTACCCATGTGATTTCTGTGCTCTCAGCCCTAAGGCCAGCACATAAGCAACCAGCCAAAGGTGGCACAGGGAAAGTGGGTACAGGGGTCATGCTAAGTGGAGGGTTTGCCCAATGGATCTGCTAAGCAACCATGTATCAGTAAGAAGACATCAAGAGAGAGGGAATCAGAGAAGGCCTAGCTAGATCTGCATTATGGGAAATTCCTGAAGGGCATGAATGGGCCAGGGAGGCTGAGCATGTGAGAGACACAGATAGGAGCTGAGCCAGCAAAGAACACCATGCAAGGGAAGTCATGAGTTCGCTTTTGGGACTGAAGAAATACTAATGTACCATTTTCAAAATTCTTTAAATTTTTTGACAACATCATTCTATTTGGTTTATTGGTCTATGTTATGTTAAAAATATATTCACTCTAGGCTTATAGGTCCCTGGTGGAACATATGCTTAATTTGTATGAGGGCCTGGGTGGGTCCCCTTCACCACAACAAACACAGCATATAATTGAAAATAAAAATATACTTGCTTTATTTAACAATTCTCTAAAAGGCAAAAAAGTCATAAAAAGACACAAGCAGTCACACATATATTGCACTGGGTAAAGGTACGTTTGGTTTGCACATGAGCAAAGTGCTTGTCCGGCAAGGCTCACAAGTGGTCACACACACTCTGAGAGCTTATTTACATTAAAAAGGAGGCTCAGTTTAAAACAGAGAAAGTCTCAGGACACCCGTGTAAAGCACACATTCTAAAGAAAACAGAGCTGGATGCTTGGCATCTTGTAAACACATTCACAAAAATTATCCTAGGAAGTCAACTTCTGAGCAGTTAACAATCAAGGAATATATATTAAATAATCATAAAATAATGCTGACAGTAAACATTCAAGATAGTAGAGAGAAGGTTTTGGCAGTTTTGTGTTTAAGTAACAAGCATAGGCTTAGACCACCATCTATCTATCTACCCTTAAGATCCAACTGGTGAGGGAGGCAGCTGTCTGTAACATTGAATTTCCGTTAAAACATGGCTACAACCTTATTGCAGTCAAAGGCGGTGTTGCTTTAATAAAAAAAAAAATAGAGTTCTTGTTTTTATGAAAAATAGGGTTAACATTCAGGCATCGGATGGCTTTACTCTGAAAACCAATTGCAGTTAAGACAACTTTCTAGTAGCTGCTTAAGACTCAAGAAACTCTGCTTTTTCTGTTGCCAACACTGATTCCTCACTGGTGGCTTCTCATTGTCACCAGTATCGTGTCAGATAATCTTTGGATGTCTGGTGCAGCATAATGTTTTGTAGAACTGGGCAGAGAGGTCCCCTTCTCCCCAAAGGGTTCCAGTGATCCGAGAGCCAGCAGCATAGACAGATGTGGTGACAGAGACCTGGAGCCACAGGAGCTAGGTGCCAGCCAGGAGTATAGTGGGGATGCTGAGCATCTTGCAAACTGTAGAACGCTAAGGGTGGCAGTGTCAGTCACTTCCCCTTCCCTGTGTTCAGTGGCTGCTCTCTGCTAGGATCTGATGTCTTGGAGATTCCAACCAAAGAACATGTATGACCGTGTCCCCAAAACAGCAAAGCCTGATTTGCAGATGCTACCTACCATGCAGATAGGGTAACATGACTCATACCACACCTCTCTGAAAACTCACCATGATGGTCTAAGAAGGATGCAAGGATGGCACAGAAATGTACAGTGTGGGAGTGCTAGTCTGATGGCATTGGTCACAGGAACTACTAAGCCCCATTAGTCCAGGGCAGGCATTTCAACTTTGTTTACAAACAGAAGCACGTCAGACTGGAATGTTGGCCACGACAGGAACTGAAGCCAAAGCTGCCACACCATGCTCCAAACCACGTAATGGACACACTGAGAGGATGCCAACAGAGATGCTCT